AATTCATCTAGGAAATCAAATCAATCGTGCAGGCAATGCCCCTGATTCGCATGAAATAATATACCCTGTTTTGGACAGAGAGGACAAAAACCATACCCTATTCAGCGGCACATCCCCGTATAGGCCTTATAAGGGAGTACCCCCACCCCGGCCTGACTGGCGTGGTAAAATAACACGTTTACCGATTGTTTTTTAATAAAAATTATTTCTCTATTTAAGAGCTCTTTTAGATAAGATCCCTACAACGCTAAGAACGCAGGATTTCATACGCCTAGGTAGAAGGAGGTTGCTTACAATCAATGATCGTCTGCATTAGGTCGGTATAATAGCGTTTTGCGTGTATGAAAGCTGTGGGGAATTTATTAACTAACAGCGCAAATTGAAGGGGGGGGGGGAGGGTGAATATACGAGAAAAGAGCTTCTCTCTTTCTTACTTTGTACTCTCGCTTCGCGCTTGTTCTTTCCCTGTGTGCGCATTCTCGCCCCACCCTCCTCGCTCTCACAAATTCGACAAAAAATAAAGAAAAACGTCTGTGGACTGGCTAAGTCGGTATGGGATCACGAAGGAAAACGACAAGGAACTGGATAATGATGAAACTTTGATCACACAGTGTTTATTCTTCTAAAAACAACTATAAAAGGAATATAGAATTACAGTCATTGCAAAACAATAGAGGAGTTCACGCTCATAGTTGCATCATGGGTAATCAGGACAAAATGGCGGAAAATTAGAAGATTTGTATTTGAATTCAAAGCAAGCTAATTCTTCCTGAATTCATATATTTGATGCCCTCTCTTTGAAAACAGAAACTTACAAGTTCAAAGAAGCAATACACTAAATCTGGAGGGCAAAGAAGTCCGTGATGAGTTTTTTGAAAAACCTCAATGTTTCCATACATTTTCTGTAATTTTGATACTGTCGAATTACAGAAAAATTTATGGGAAAATTAAGGTTTTCTAAAAACTGTTCACGGGCTTCTTTGCACTCCAGATTTAGAGTATTGTTGCTTTGAACTCGTAAGTTACCCTTTTTAAAGAGAAAGCATCAAATACATGAATTCAGGAAGAAACAGCTGGCTTTGAATTCTGATACAAATCTTCTAATTTCCCGCCATCTTGTCCTGATTACCCATGATGCAACTACGAGCGTGAACTCCTCTATACAACTGTAGCTTTCTTGAGTGTGATGGTTAAGTACATTCAACAAAACAGAGTATAATTTAGTTGTAAACAGAAGCAAAGTTATCGTTGGTGAGCCATTAAATATATTTTTAACTCGAATTTTAACTTCTTTTCTGAAGTAATCGAAATTAAAATTTTATATAATCATATACTAGCTGAGCTCGCCAAGTCGACAACCAAGTTTCTGTTCTGGTAAACTTCTTGTTCACGGTACTACTTATTTTCTCATTGTGAATGAAAGCCTTGATGTATTTATATTTAACGCGGAACAGTCTGTTTAACAGAGATCTCGGTCAGCCTCGAGCTGGACATTTCCAACATGAGCTCAGTGCACCCAGATAGGTGAATAAGAATGAGCTCAGCGGATGATTACCGTGGATATTTTGTGACCTTTTCGTCAAATATGATTTTATGAATACTGAAAATAAAGTAATGGTGAAAGAACTTTTGTAAATGCACCAAAGAAAATCATTAGTTTTGTAGTTCCGAACCCGCATTGAAGTAAATTTTAGCCTAAGAAAACAACCGCCATTTCACAACGGGAAAACCAGTGGCCGCCTCTCGCTATGTCGGCTGTCTCCTCAGGCGAAGTAAATTTATGATCCTGGTGATATTTGTCATATAAAAACTAACCCGGCTGGCTCGGCTTACTGGACTCGTATAAACAGATGTTCAACCAAAATAAAGTTGTCAGGCTCGAAGCCGTCAGATTTCAACCTATACTATGAGCTTACAGTTTTATGTTCGCAATTCACCAAAACTATTCATACCCTAGCTAGGCTGTGCTTAGTATAAGGAAGGGCTTTATATATTTATTATTCATTCAAAATATTTCCCCGATTCTGATTGGCTAAAAGCACACGATTAATTTACCATAACAAGCTATTGATGACCAAATTTGGAAGAATTTTGCGATTAATGAACCGATGACGTCAAAAGTACCTGGGGACGAGGTTGAGTTGGTTTGGTTGTGAAAACAAAAATGGCGGACATTTCACTCGTTTCAAGAGAAAGAACTGGGCGAGATAATGGCTAAAAACATGGAAAGAACAGCAAGAAGACAACTCCAAGGGCGACATCTGCTATTTGGAGAATATTTGCGGAGCTGAACAACCCTAAAGGTGCACTATCGAAGATGAACTTAACGTCGATGGAGGTAAGCTTGTTTTAGCTATGTTTTTAAACTAGGAATTCTTTTGAATGAATAATAAAACAATTATTGAATTCGTCTTTCGCATCGTATGAAGAATCATGCAGATCTCGGAAGGTGTTATCGGCCTAGGCCTACGGCCTCGACGGATAACACTCTTCTCGATCTCCATAATTCTTCATAAAATACTCAGCCTCATTCATTAATTGTTAAATATGTAAAAGAAGATCTACTTAATTACAATCACACTGTATCACACACAGCATTTAAATGACTCATTGTTCAAATGTGAGCACTACTTATACTTATACGGGGTCCATCGTAAATCTCAGGGGCTGTCCTATTCCCTTATATAAGCCTGATGTGATAGATGGGTACGGTGCCAAAGTGTTTGGTTTTTTAAATTGTTCTGTCTAAATATGGGTACCGAGATTTAGCCGTTCAGGGCTGAAATAGGGTAAAGGTTTCAGACATTGTGTCGTCATCGGAATTTTACAGCCATAAACCTAGACAGTAACTTATGACCTGTTTACAAGGGGGAAGGGAAACCTAACATCCCATGTTTCGTCTTTTCCTACCTTACGGGTTTTAAGGGCAGACAGGTGCGCCCTGCCTTCGTGGTAGGTGTTACCCTATTTATTCCAGTAGCAGCATGACCCTCCTACCGGGTTTTAGTTGTTCAAGGGTTGGATCGGGGAAAATCACTATCCTGCGGATAAGTGCTTGGGAAACCAACTGCGTTATTCAGTGGACAGCGTTTGGACTAAATGCCTGGCTAGTGACATCACTCCTATTCGGAAGCTGATGTTTAGGCTTTTGGAAACTCGTTAGTTATCAAGCACTCAGAGATGACTCATGCAAAATGGTAACACCATCTTGAAGTTTTGGACACCTTGGGTAACCCTAGCACCATGTTTGTGCTTTCTCTTCGTTGACAGGCAATTTCTCTCGCGTCCGACAAGAATATATAGTTTACATGTTGTCACTGAGATGTAACTCATCCTTAATGTAAAAAGAGAAAACAAAAAGAAAGACTACGAATAAGGAAATATTACACCCTCTGATCAATGCAAACTTCACTAGGTGTTAAATAAGTACATAAATAATAATAATTAAAATAATACAAATAATACTAATAGTAATATGACATTTTTAGATATCGCCGTATTATGTGACGATGCAACGTCAAAAAGACAAATATTTTAAGAACGATATTAAATAATTTCTGCAGCACATGTACTTGCATTTAACTCTACGATAAACGAGGTTTAAGAGCTTTTTTCTACTGAAAAGATATGTTAAAGTAAAAATGCGAGGCAACTACAACTTTCGTGTCATGACTTAATAATGAAAACTAAATATCACCATGGAAAGCGCTCCCGAAGAGGCTTGGCTGTCTGAATGGGTGCACCAAGGAGTCAGTCCTTGTCCATAGGCTCCAGCTGCGTGGCAATTAATACTATCACAATAGATCTGAGAGTGAAAAAAGGCTTATATAATAACGATGTCACAAACGATCAGGCAAGGTGTTATCACTTGATACTCTGTGAAAGAAAAAAACAGAGATATTCGGAAACTAAAGGGGTTTGCTAAAAGGTAGAAGAATTAAGTCACAAAACAACATAGACTGAAATAGCAAGAAAGATTGTTATATTAATGAATTATTTTAAAAAGAGGAAGCAAAAGTGCCGGAGGATGTTATGAGTTCAGAGTTTCTTGATTGAGCGATTCAGCAAACAAACGTCGAAGAACAAAGATTGTAGCTCGCTATGCGGTCAACGAACTGCGGGTGTAAGAATTTTTTACATTCATGAGTGGTATTATAGACCTCACTTTGGCAGTTTTCCTTTCGCTTGTACCCTTTCGTATGACAGCATTTTTGGAATCAAAACGTTTAGCTGATTTAGCATCCTCCTTATTTAATTTCTGTAGTGTATAGGGTGGCAAATTAAATAGACTAGATTGTGAAGAGTGCTCTCTTATCTTTAGGGTGTTCCTCTCACTACTGACGGCCGTCATCAGTTCCATAAATTCGTTTCCGAGTATTTATGAGGGTTAAAACGTTGGATATTCTGACTTTCAGCTTCTACACAGAGTGCTTAGTTGTAAGGTATGCCAGTGGAAATTTTAAAATAAGTATCTTCATTCCTTGGAGCTTTCCTGATTACCGTGTGGCACGAAATTTTTGCGGCAGTTTATTTTTGCGGACTGCCGATTTTTTTTGTTTTAAGGAAATTAATTTTTGCGATTAGGACAGATTTTTTTTCTTGCTGGGAATTAATTTTTGCGTCTTTCAGAAAGTACCCATTATGCAGCATTGATAATGTTTTTTTTAGTGCGTGCTATAGAAATACATATTTTCAAACAATACTACTGTGTGCGTACCCTATGTAAAACCAGTAAGTTCATTGTAAACCGTTTGGTTTCTGAACGAAAGAGACAAGTTGTAACTGAATAGACACGACTTCTTAGTTCCGCATTTTTGTGTAGCGAATTTAAATTAGAGAATATTTGCTCTGGAGTAAATTGTGCGGGAAAAATGTTAGCGGTAATATTTATTTGTGCACCTTTTTTTTGCGGATCGCTGTAAGAATCGCAAAAATTAGAACCCGCAAAAATTTCGTGCCACACGGTAAGCTGAAATAAATTTTTGCACATACCAGTACGTTCACCGCAGACCTAAAGTGCCTTTTTGGGCTAAAGATGCAGCAGTCAATCCGCCAAGCACTTCCAACTGCGTGATACCCAAACCAAGTTCTCTACTGGCCCACGTGGCTAGCTCAATGGACATCATGGAATCAACACCATAGTTTGTCATTGGCTGATTCAAGTCAATAACCTCAGAGGGTACTTGCAGTAATTCGGTGAGTTTTTTCTTGATTTTCTCTTCCAACTGCTCTTTATTGAATCCCTGAATGTCAGATGCCAATCGAGTGTCTCGACTAAGATGGCGAAATCTCAGGCTGGTCCTGTATACGAACTGCTGAGTAGCTTCCCAATTCTATTGAAAAAGCAAAAAAAAAAAAAGGGTTTTAAGAAATTGGAGAAAAAGCACGGAATAAACTATCATTAAAAAATTTCCCTACATGGAGGCTAAAACGAATAATTTTTTGCATCCAGGTATAGAATTCTTGAAAAAAAAGAAATCATTAAAAAAGTTAGGTTCTTTACAGAGCTCTTATTTTCGTACACTGTAATTAGAAATAAATGTCATGATGGTGATTCCTGGGTCTCTATAAAGTAAGTAAACATTAACACACAAAATAAAAGATTTAACGTTGTTCCCTAATAATATCTTTCGCATTAGCGATTTTATTACTTTTTACTTGACACTCCTGCACGTTTACTTTCCTAAAGCATTGCCCGCCTAGATTGGCACTAGCTACCTGTGAGAATGTCAGAACTGTAAATTGGACGATGACTATATGTATGTGTGTTATTTAGAATAAAGTGTGCATAAACGTTTTCAGTCTTGACCTCTTTTTTTGCTGCTAAATCTCCCCAGAAATAGTCAATAAAAAATTGCAGAGATCGTTCAAAGAATGCGAGGAACTTTTTTTGTTGTAACTGTTTGTAATCAAAGCACTGTATCTTTTAAACGATACTCCAAAAACAAAAGTACGTATTAATAACGAAATTTCGAAGGGCGCCACCCACCTGGTTTGCAAAGCAGATTACAGGTTCGTCACATGATTCTAACAGCGTCTCTAGAACCGACAGGACTTCTTCTATATGCAGAGTTAATAGCCCCTTGTCGGCTAGCCTCTTGGTAACGTCCACCTTGTCTTCCAGATACCCTGCTCCCCGTACAGCTCCTAGTTGCAAAGAAAGAGCAGGAAGTCCAACGCTCTTCCGGTGATGAGCCAAAGCATCCAAATATGAATTTGCTGCACAGTAGGCGGGTTGAGCAGGATTCCCCCAAACTGTTAGCTGAGAGGACATCAATAGGAACATTTCCAAAGGCTGGTCGAGGGTGTGGTCATGCAAATGTTGAGCACTTCTGGCCTTACTGTTGAACATCAACTCAAGCTGCTCCGGTTGGAGTTTCAGAAAATTTTCCTCTTCCTTAATGACTCCAGCAAGGTGGAATATACCTCGTATTGGTGGGATAGTGCTATCTTGACTCAGTTTCTTTATCATAGCCTCCACAAAGGACTCTTTTGCGAGGTCCCCAGAAAACTCGTACACCATAACCCCTTGACGTTTCAGAAAAGCTACTGTGCGACGACCCGCGGCATTGTGGCAGCCCTGACGAGAGGTCAATACCAGATGTTTTGCACCCTTCTTAGACATCCAACGAGACAAAGCTAGGCCAATACCACCAAATCCTCCTGTGATTATGTAGGTAGCATCAGCCTTGAATAAGCTCGATGACATTTTCAGGCATAGCGGCATTGGCTCACTTGACATGTCAAAAACAATCTTTCCGATGTGGTCACCTTTTGACATCATTCTGAACGTTTCTTTGAAAGCGGAGATGGGATGCACAGTTGTCTTAATAGGCTGAAGAGTGTTACTCGCAAGCAGCTTAGATACCTGTTCAAATATGTTGATAAATGTCTTTAGCTTCCCGCTTAAAAGGATATCCACGTGACACGAAAGGAAGGACTTGTTTTCAAGGAACGCATTCATGGGTATTTGAGAATTCGCCAAAATGTCTCTTTTGCCAATTTCACAAAATCGACCTCCATGCGACAGAAGGCCAATGCTTTTCTTCAACAAATCGCCATGAAGAGAGTTGAGAATGACATCAACACCATTTCCATTAGTCCAATCCAAGACGTCTTGGCAAAACTGTTCTGATCTTGAGTCTGTAACATGTGTTATGGCCATAGTTTCTTTGAGGAAGCGTCTCTTCTCTTCTGTTCCAGCGCTGCAAATGACCTTGGCTCCAATCATCTTTGCAATCTGCAAAGCCGCTAGTCCAACACCGCTGCATGCAGAATGAATAAGAACCGTTTCCCCTTTCTCCAAACGCGCACGTTCTACAAGACAGTAGAATGCTGTGGTGAACACGATTCCAACTCCAGCGCCCTCGACCCAGGTAAGATTTTGTGGCTTGTGGACTACGTATTCTTGACTACACTTGACATGTGAAGCGAAGCATGAGTTGAGGAAAACAATAACCTCATCGCCTAAATGAAATTTTGAGACCGATCTTCCTTTACCAGTAATGATTCCAGAACACTCCAGGCCAAGCCCCCTTTTGCCATCTGCCGTGGCCAGTCTTTCTAGCATTCCCATGGCCATCATCACGTCTTTGAAGTTTAGTCCAGCAGTTTTAACTTCGACCAATACTTCATCCTCTTGGAGCATCACGTTCTCAGCTGACAGAAAGTCTATGTCATCGATACTGTGTTTTCCAGTGTCATCAGAATTGACAAACCCTAGTTTCCATCTGTTACTGTAGGCTTTCTTTGATTCCATCGGAGAAAAGCGTACCACGCGTGGAACATAGCACCTTCCAAGACGGATGACAATTTCTTGGTCTGGAGGTGGGGCTGCCAACAACTTGACAATATGTGCAGCATTCCTTTCATGGAAGTCTGCAGGATCGACGTCAACAGCAAACACAGAAAACTTGTGCGTACCATTTGTTATAGCTCGAGAAAGTCCCAGAGCCGCTGATCCTTCCTGATCTTGTCTTTCACCGCTTGCGCCGCACGTAAGCACCCAAAAGCGTTTGATTCCTGAGATTTTGTTTGCTGTTTTGAACAGGGCTAGAAGATTGGAGAGATGCCTTCTAGTTTTTGAAGAGTGAATGTAAAGAACAACTCGTGATTGCAATTCCGATGTGTCTTCCTCTTGCATATCGTTTACGTCCGATAGCATTCGAACATTTCTTGAATTGTTAAAGCTACTCGCAAGTACTTTGGCCAGAGGATCGTTTTCTTCTGCTATGATTACGATCTCTTCATCATGCGATGAACGAGAAGATACTATAGCTGCTTTTTTGCTTTTATACCCTCCGATAACTCTTGGGAAACATTCTTCAGAAGGAGAGACTGCGAAAACATCAACAAAACCATTTCTGGTCATGACATCATTCCATCGTTTTTTGGGAGGATAGAATTCTTCTTTAGCATTTGGCTTCGGGAAAGGTGCGAAAATAAGCAGCCCGCCTTGCTCACACAACAACTGCTGAAATGCCATCATGATTTTTTCCATACTGACAGTTGGGTGAACTATGTCCAAGGAAATAACGAAGTCAAAGCTTTCTGGAATAAATCCCTGCTCATCTGTGTTTTTCCCTGGTTCAAAGTAACTGTACTTGACAAATGCGAAATCTTTTAGTTGTTCTTTAGCGTTTTGTAGAAGCAATTCGCTGGAGGCAGAGAAGATGTACTCCACCTCATTCGTTAGACCTTTTTCTTCAAGATGTGGAAGAAGGCTTTTTGATAGTTCAGCATTCTGGTCATCAGTTAAGAGTACGCGAATGACTTTTTTCTCTTGAAATCCATCTTGGATAACTTGTGCAATGGAAAATGCGCTTGTTTTGAGGTGTTTTTCTGTTGATTTCCACCAATGCTTTTCCCGGTGTTTCTTTGGCAATATCCGACTATCCTCTGAGCTCGAGAAATTCGAAATAACAGGATTGTTTTCTTCAAAATGTTCAAAAGGACTACACTCCTGTCTCGTTCCTGAAAAAGCTTTTTTGACGTCTTGCCGCATAGCGTTTACCGCATTTCTATTTGCACCCTCTTGAAGGGCAATGGTATTGCTAATATCTCGTTGAACAGCGCCATTCTGTTTTGTCGTTAAACCATCATCGACAGTCTTGGAAGCTATTATTTCACGAACTGACCTTCTTGTTTGCCCAGTGAATTCCATTTCTTTACTTAACCTTGTTGCAAGGCTCGAAAACTTGAGGCATGACTCTAGTGGTTGAAATTTGGTAGAATACAAACAGTTTTGGACATCTTGCTTCGCTTCTCTGTTCCGAATAGCTTGAGTATGAACACCTTCAATCAAAGCCAAAATTTGTCCACCCCTCGTTGCCAAGGTGACGTTTCCAGTCAAAAACGATCCGTCATGATCCAATACTACAGCATGAGCAACAAGCTCTTCTCCAGAGGGAAGTGAAGGCACCTCCATCTGAAAGGATTCAATCTTGATAGGGATGTACAGTGACGTGCAAGGACCTAATGCAGCAATAACCAGTTGGAGGCAGCCGTCAATAATGGTTGTTTGAATCCGCTGTACGCTGTCAGATGCAGCCTCTAGAAGCCCAAGGGCTTCACCGTCACCCAGTAAGACTTTTTTCACTGTTTGAAAGGCAGGGCCATACTGGTAGCCATTCTTTTTAAGATTCTTATAGAATATCTCTTTTCCAACAGTATCCTTCACACGGAGACGGATCTCATCCATCGGTAAGGTGCGTGGCGGAAACTTCTCTTTGCTTGCGACTGTTGCGTTGCAGTATACAACATCGCTGTAGCTAATGTAAGACTGGGGTCCTTCTTGATGGAATGTTAGCGAGACAGTTCCCGTGTGAAAGTCACCTCCCTCGTTTGCCTCGTTTGGCCATATTAAAGTTTTGTTAAAGTGTACATTGTTCAGAAGTGGATTTTCGTCCGGCATGAAGCACATTTGGAGTAAGTACTCAACATATCCAGCTCCTGGGAAAAGCAACTGATTTTGAATGACGTGGTCTTTGAAAAAGGGATACTTCTCAAGAGACAAACAACCGTTTTGTCCTTTGAAACTTCTGTCCTCCAGCCCAAGCCTTTTCTTTTTTCTTTCCTCAGATTCTTTCCAATGGGACTGATGCTGCCATGGATATCTTGGTAACGGTTGCCACACTGCACGAGTTTGTGCAACGTTATCCCACTTAATGGATTTTCCAGCCACATACAAGGATCCAATAGATTGCAAAAGAGAAACGCGGTCGTCTTTGTTTCTTTGGCAACATGGGATGGTGACGACATGACTATACTTCGGTGTATTGCTTATAATCTGTCGGACAGACGAAAGCAGTGTCACTGAAGAGGCCAGTTCCAAAAAAACGTCTGGTTGTTCTTCGTCAAGAATGCATTTAATTGCTCGTTCAAACTGGACTGGTTTTCGGATGTTCTTCCACCAGTAATCTGTGCTAAACATTCCATCGTAGCGCTCTCCAGTTACGGTTGAGTAGAATGGAACTTGGTTTATTCGTGTTTTTGTCGTTACTGCACCAGACATGGATCTCTCAAAAGACATTTTAATGGTCTCCATATGAGGGGTGTGGAAGGCGCACTGTACTCGCAGTTTCTTTACAGTGGTTGGATTTTCCTGCGATAGGCTCTTAATGGCTTCATTCTGACCTGCGATTGTGATTGACTTTGGGGCATTGACTGCTGCAACGTAGACGTCTTTACTTTCAGAACAGAGGTTTTCTACTTCCTGCAACGTTGCGCGCACAGCCGCCATGCTGCCCGTTCCTTTAAGCTTCCTCTGCTCGTTGCAGCGATGGTAAATAACAGCTACTGCTTCTTCGATTGTTAATCCACCACATGCATAGCTGGCAGCTACTTCACCTAAACTGTGACCCACAATGACGTCAGGTTGCACTCCCCAATCTTTCAATAATTCTAACAGACCTATTTGGAAAAACAGAATAGCGGGCTGCGACACCTCGATTTCATCAATAACAGAATTTACCATGTTAGCATCTGAGTTTAGAAAACAACCAAAGTCGTGAATGATTGATGTGCCACTCATTTTCTTGAAAACTGCATCGCATTTTTTGACTGACGTTTGGAAAACTGGCTCTGTAAGATACAATCTGCTGCCCATTGCACCCCATTGCTGCCCTTGACCAGGAAATATGAAACAAACTTTTTGTGCTTTACATGGTTGGGAAAGAGGTACTATGACGCCATTCGCAGTTGATTCGCCGTTTGAATACCCAAGAAGAGCATTGCAAAAGTTTTTGCCAGAGTTTGAAACCACAGCAATCCGAAAATCGTGATGCATTCGACGCGCAGACAGCCATGACACAACGCTTAGGGCATCCATAGTGCTTGTAAATGAACTCCATTCTTTGGCCAAATCTTCAAGCGCTTTCTTGGACCTGGCAGAAAAAGGTATTAAAATGTGTTCCCCGAATTCATCCCCACCAAATGTCCAGTTACATTTACTCTGCTCTTTCGATGCTTTCCGAGGAGATTGTTCAAATACAGCATGAGCAAGAGCTCCCGCAAATCCAAAGCTGTTGAGCGCTATTCTGTGAGGAGATCCACCTCTCAAGTCTTCCACTTGTGTTGCCACTTGGAGATTAAGGTTATTGAAGTCGATGTTAGGATTGGGATTTTCAAAATTTATAGTAGGACAAAGAATTTGCTTTTCAAGCATGAGTGCTACCTTGATGGCTGCAGTGACACCGGCTGCACACTCACTATGTCCAAAGTTACTCTTAACAGATCCAATCTTGAGAGGAGTTTTTCGTTGAGAACAGAAAGCTTTTGAAATGGCATTAGCCTCTATGGGATCACCAACAGGGGTACCAGTACCGTGTGCTTCCACGTAATCAATTGATGAAGGAAAAATGTTGCAACGCTTGTAGACCTCATTTATGACATCGTGCTGAGCTGAGGCTGACGGCTTTGTAAGACTGCTTGTGTTACCACTTGCTGCTATGGCACTCTCACGGATGACTGCATAAATATGATCTTCACTCTGCAAGGCTTGATCCAAAGGCTTTAGGATAAGTGTTCCCCACCCTTCACTGCGCACATATCCTTTTGCCGTGTTGGAAAATGGGCAGCATTGACCATCTGGTGACATCACACCCAGAGAACTGAATCCAACTGAGACTTCTGGTGCAAGAAGACTGTTACATCCCCCTACCAGCGCTACAGAACATTCCTTATTCCGGAGAGCACAGCAAGCTAAATGTAGTGCTGTCATAGATGAGGCACAGGCTGTATCGACAGCAAGACTGGGTCCCTTGAAGTTGAAGACATACGAAAGACGGTTGGCAGCCACACTGTGCGTCACTCCAGTAAGGCTATATGCGTCAATTAAGTTAGACTCCCAAGTATACAACGCGTAATCCATCATTCCAATGCCAACGAACACGCCGCAGTCGCCCTTTAGTCCCCAGGGGTCGATACCAGCATCTTCAAAGGCCTCATAAGTAACTTCTAGGAGATGCCTCTGTTGTGGGTCCATCGAAGCTGCCTCACGCGGAGATATTTTAAAAAACGAGTGATCAAAATGATCGATGCCTTTTATGAAACCACCGCGGCTTGAAACCATTTTTCCTGTCTCTTTTCTTCCATTGTCGTAAAATGTCTCTAGACTCCAGCGGTCTGATGGAACTTCTGTTATTACGTTTTGCCCCTTCCTTAAAACTTCCCAGAAATTTTCAGGGGAGTTAACATCTCCTGGGAAACGACAGCCTATTGCAGAATTGCAAAAGTGAGGTAGTTACATTCACGCTATTTAGGGCCCTCTATATATTACCGTTCGGTGTGGTAAGCTTTACTTTGCGGATTCTCTTTTGTGGTAGGGCATTTTTACTTTGTTAGAGATATTTCCCTGTAGAAGGGTTTTTGTTGAAACCGGCCGGAGAAACGTTTTAAAGGTAATTATTTACATTTTTAAGATCGGAGACTGCGTGCGTCAGCAATCGGTGGCAACTGGTTGAGTCACATTTCTCATGTTTTCCCTTCCCTGCCCCATCTGTTTAAGCGAACTTGTGAAACTGCTTGAGGAGAGAAAAAGCAAGCCAACTTAGGCTTGAGCGGCGGGTGTGATAAACGTGGTTAAATCTTTCGAATATTATAACCCATTGTGAACAACTTCGTTAAATAATTTAGAAGTGTGGGAGTTAAAATAGTAGTTAGGTGAGCGGATGAGCTGGGTCAATATTTTGGCATCTCCAGTTTACTGTGGTTTCATGTTGTTCTATATGATACCCCTCAAGGAGGGGGAATTTCTTAACTTTGATTCCTCTGTGCCCCAATGAAGGCGGGGGGTGGGGAGATTAAGCACTTTCAAACGGGTTATTTAAATAGTCCCCTTCGCGCAAGGGGTCCCCTCCAGGTGATGACCGATGATAATATTGCAATTATCATTAAAAGGAACCGCTGCTGTATAAAAAAGAATAAAGCCAAATGGACAGGTCGCCTTCTTTCCTGTCCTAAAAGAATGTGCGTAACAGACTATTACAGGCATCAATTTTTCAACTTCTAAACTTTTCGGATTGTTGCAAACCATAGCTATGAAAACCACTAGCCTGTTCGTGCAGTCTTTGTTTTTGTTACAAATTGAACGAACTGCCGCAGAAAATGCGAGTTCATTATACTTCAATGCTTTTCGTTTAACCTTCTGCCCGACTTACCTATTCCCACAATGGCAATTGGTACAGGTTGACAGCTAGATATGTCTGGAGGGTCCTTCATCTTGATATCCCTGGGCCACCTTTCATCTGTATCTGAAGAGAATGGGGAAAAAAGATTGATTTGACTGTCCGGCGAATTTAATGACAAGGTTGATCCGGCCTTTTAACAAAGAAGAATAACGTGCCCACGAAGCTCAGTCCGTGTAACATTGATTACTACGGTATTTTTGGAAACAGACTATCGAAGTGCAGTTCAGTCCAAAGCCAAAATATGACGCAAAATTTGTTTTCACGACAACTTCCATTTCAAAGCCAAGACAAAAATGTCCACTTGCTTGATTCTTTTCAACACGAGTAAGGTGTGGAGAACTTAAAATAGTAAGACTCTTCCAAAAACCTAAACTATAGATCAATACTAAGTTCTCGGGTGATTTGAGGAATGGGTCTCTTGAAATTTGTAAGGGGGTGGTCTAGTTTAAAGGAGATTTAACTTTTCGACTTGAAACTTTGCATGCGGTAAATACTTCTCAAAAAATGTTCTTATCCGTTGTCACTAATGAGCTATCTTAGTCACGTGACTTGTCACGCCCATTTTTTGCCATTTAGTTCGGTCCAATTTTACGACATTTTACAAATACTAGTTGTGATTTATATTGTTTTCTCTTAATGACTATTAACACAAGGTTTATGGAATTAATCCGGCTTTTTCAAAATTATTTGTTTTGAGTGAATTACAACGTTTCCAGTTGAGAGTGGGACTGGGTCGAGGAGAAAACGTTCGATAATTGGGAATAAAATACTTTGCAATTCTTTGTTTAATTGGACCCATTTGACTTTAAATTTAACACTATGGAAAAATAAAGGGGAGCTTCAACAGTCATTTTCATGACGTAATCTGAAAATACTAGATGTTGCATATTTATGAGCGTGGCTGGTCACGTAACCTTAAGGGGCAAAGTGTGAGGTCCAGAAATGGTTCCAATCTTAAGCACATATGTTTAAGTACAAATGAAAAGAGATGGCAGACAAAACAAGAAAAAATGATAGAAGCCCAAAATGGAGCGAGGAGCCATGCGTTAAATCACTTGAGTTTGTCTTGGAACGTTATCCACAACACGAACAATCCAAATTTTGTGACTATGGTGCATATAAACCACTTCAATTATGCGTAAAATAGCCTACAAAACAATACGCTGCTACACAATGGTTGATGAAAATAGCACTGCAATCTAGCTGCTCTTTTCCACATCACTTTAAGTTTACTACCCTAATTCCTCAGGACACTCCCGTAACCTTTATACCAGGTTCAGAGAGTTCCTAAGGCCAGAGTCGGTGGCGCACAAGCTCTTCTCCGGAAACTTTCGTGCATGCATCGATCAAAAAACATAATTTCCTTGTAACACAAAGTAAAAATTATTTACTCGAATGTGGACTTGAAGTTTATGCTTAATCTACACAACCTACCGGAGGCTTTACTGAGTATTGGAATGAATATGTGTGGAATACCGACCAACTCATCAATCCTATCAATCAACCTAACCGACTTTGTCGACTTTTGTTTTCCTGGTCATTGTTTATTGGATCCCTTGACTAAGGGAAGGTACGTTGGGGGGCGTGGGTGGGCCGGGGTATTTTAGAATTTTTTTGCGAAAAAAGTCGTGGCCCTCCCACCTCCTGGAATGGATTAATGCATGGCCCTTCAGAAATACCCAAACAAAAACATCTGACCCTCCCCCCTACCTATCCAAGACAAAAATAACCTGAAGTGAAAATAACAAAATGGAAGTGTTACTCATATAACCGCGTTCATCTGCGCACAAAGTAGTTAATTGCGTGGCGTGTGATTGTACGGTGAAAACATGAAAATGGGTAAGGATGTACGAGGAATAGAAAGAAGGAAATGTGCTTGTGGTGAATGCGAGGATTTCATGAGGTCAGATGGAGCAACTTGTGGCTATTGTGGCTGATTGCTTACTCTCCATTCTAAAAAGGATGCCCGCTACTCCTCTGACTCTGTTGGTGGCACATCGGCTGCGGGAACAAGTGAAAGCGCAAGTCCAGAGAAGTGGAAAGGTGAAGACCTAGGGTGGTTCCCGAACCCAAAGGGTGAATATACTGAATTCTCAAAAAGTATTCTGCCAAATTTGGACCACTTGTCCCTACCAGGAACGCTTTCGCCACTGTTTCGTGATTGAAAGAAAGCGCCAGTGGGAAGTTCGCGAGGCTTTGACACCTGTAAATAATTTAGATTAATTTTGACTGGTAGCTTTGCTTGTATATACAAAATAGAAGCGACATGGAGTAATTCCTTCCTTGCCAAAAAAACTGTGACCCTCCCTCGTTTGAGAATAAAACAGGTTTGACCCTCCCCAATTTGTAAAAAATTTACTAAGGACCCTCCCCTCCGAAGCCCCGGCTCACCCCGCCCAATAACAAAACGTACCTTCCCTAAGCCTCATTTAACGCTGGGATCAAAGAGACCAAAGAAATAACTTTTGTTTGGCTGATAGAAAAACATAATTATTGTTTTGATTGTATATTTAGCACAGCAACCTTGCAGAAGGATTTGATAGTTTGGATAATGGTTTTCAATTTCAAAACGGCAGTGGAAATGTTTCTGAGCTACTTAAGGTTACTTGAGGAGTGAGATTTTCTCGGAATTGTTTTTTTTTTGGCAGAGGTTTGCAGTTGACGTGACTGCATGTCTAGCCCTCTCTACTTTTCTAACCAGTCTGTTTGTACTTCCATTGTATTAATTATACACGTATAAAGTTGTAACTTGCAATTAACTAACATTAAACAAAGGAAAACTGGTGTAAAAATGTGGAAAGGATTCGATTTATAGACACCTTTCAGTGATGACTCATGAAAATTGAAATGATAGAATAGCTTATGCTTGGTGTAAGATATATATTCTATAAGGACGGCATTCGATTTAACTGCTAGTGGTGGTTACGCTTAGCAAAAAAAGACAGAAACGAGTACCGTCGGGAACGCTGTTTTTTGAACGCCAATCATATCAGTATTTCTTTTTTTTTTATTTTACTTTTTAAATTGCAAAGTTATAAGTTATCTTTCCTCTACCTTTTTTGCTCTATACTAGGGAATTTTAAAATTATTGAAGAATAAAAAAAACAGTAACCAAAAAAAGAAACAAAACAAAACAACAAAAAAGTTGAAAAATCAGAAAGGCAAGGGAGGCTCTGGAGCCAGAGCCTGTGAGTTTAGCAAAAGCTCTCTTTGGCTTTGAAATTTTGGGAAACTATATAACTAGTGCAGCAACTGATTAAAACATCTGTTTTAGCCTGCTAGCAAACTCTCGGGGCGCTCTGGGGGTGGGGAGAAAAATGAGGGAGAATTTTGTCTGTAACTGCCCCAAAATATAAACAATCATCGCAAATATAACAAAAGTAACGATATTAACGATATTGAAGAAGCTGAGGAACTAATGTGAATCTGACTTCCCACCAAAAATCACAAAAATAGTAAGAAGAACAAAAACAAAAGGACATATAATATGAGAAGGGCAAAGAAGGCCTTCGAGAAGTAGCAAATTTAGCACAATTTATAGCAAAAACAACAAGCATTTTATGTAAGCAAATTGCAAATGCAGGGTAAAACAGGGCGCAAATCAAGCAAAAAAGTGACTTTGCATCACCTTACCGTGATCTTGAGAGAGGACCAGCGAGAGAGTCTTGTGCACTTTTTAAAGTCTTTACCTATCGACGTCCTCGTTCTTGAGGTATCTGAACAATCTGCAAGTATAACCAAGTATACTTAGTTAATGCACGGCTTTGTTAATTCTTTTCCGAGGGGAGGGGTTTGCCGCCCCCTGGCTAAAGGCGGTGATCCATAAAAGCCTTATTCTTACCGTTTTTGCTAATGATTATGGAAACAATACAACTTAATGTTTCACTCGGACATTTATAAAATTCAACATCAAATAAAATTATTATCGCATCGCACAATGTGTCGATGTGTCGAATGGACTAGGCTTAATTAGAACCAGTAGAAATGCAAAAGCTATGATTGTCACCAAATTTATTTATTTGTTACCAAATGTAATGAAGTAATAAAGAACTTTTACATGTCCTGAATAAAAAAAAGACCCCTTATTCTTGCAACTATCCCCAAAGAGGTATCAAAGTTGAATTGAACTTACTAGATAGGGCAGCTTATCTTCTAAGTTTGCTCTGGTGACTGGGCCAGCCCGGCGGGTGAGACGAGATGTTTGTGTTCTTGATAGGGTCTAATAGCGCCCATGAAAGCATTACCGTAAAGTGAAAAAGATGGCTTTGAACCTTGATGAAGACCTTTTTAACGGTTCAAATGTTGTGCCGGTTTTTCGTCTTTACTCGTTGAATACTTTTATTATAAAAATAATCTATAATTTCATCATAACTTCTTCAATATACAAAAATCATTAAGAAATGTCATGGACACTCCAGAGGTAATGATGCTGAACTTGAGTTGTTTTAAATGAAAATGCATGAATATGTGAATATTTTTCGACCCATAACAAAGGCCCAAAGGAATCAATTAAACGTGCAATCTCACACGCCGGCGAACTACGTGCTCAGTTACATTCCTATTTCCAACTTCGCAGTTTCGTTTTACAGAGGCTCGCATTCTTGATCAACTTAAAAGGCAAGATCTTTGTCAACCGAGCAAGCCCAGTAATCCGAATTTTCTAAGACTTAGGACTATTTTTTCTCCGTTATGATTGAAAGACAATTAAAGAAAAAAATATATATTTGAGGCGTAAGGGACTTAACGGAGTAGCAAAGGCTGTAAAATAAAGGTCCATCAGCCTTTAGACACTTTAATGAAGACCTCCCAACGACTAAATTATTACCAAAAAATATTTTACGGTTAATTTTTTTTTTAGATGATAAATTTTTGGCAGTAAATGTTATCCATCGAGAGCATCGAGACCACTAATTTTTTGGTATGAAGTTAAAAGTTCCCTAAACTGAACTCAGCAAAGACTACTTACCTTCTTTTCCAAAGCACAGGTTTATCAACTCGTTCTAACAGTCAATTGATCGCCTGATCAGTGCA